TTGGAGACAAACCGGTTTCGGCGTTGTGCCATCTTCAGTGTAATTTTTCGTTCGTGAGAACATACATACTTTTTTTATACTTTATCTGCTCTTGTGTTTTTCCTGCGGGAAAAGTTAACAAGATATAGCAGCCATAGATTCCTTAGATCTGACTAAACGAATATTAAAAAATCCTTGAATACCGTAAATTCTTATGATTATTTGCATTTTTATGGAAAATATTTGTTGATAAGCATGGCACCAGCTGTATATAATTGATTAATTGATTAAAAAAGTAAAAGGTCTGGAATTTAAAAAAAGGCAATTTCTTAGCTGTTAATAAGGCCCCATATATCATAATTGTCAGTAAGATAACTCTGTACACCCCGCGTGAAACTTATATGCTTTTTGTTATTTAATTTTAATTATTTTTTATAAAAATATTGTTTACTTTTTAACAAAACAGCAATACGAATTCATGTATATGAATTCGCCTGGAAAGCATGTTTCATACATTGTGCTATATTAAAAAAAGTTTTGGTAAAAATTTAAAATTTTTAATTAGATTTCTTGGAAAGATTGTGAGTATGGAGTGTTTTAGCTCATTCAATTATAGTACAATAAATCCAACTCTTAAGTAGGTAAGACTTAACGTTGATTTTTTTAATTTTTTTTGCCGCTGAATTCATGGCTACCTCGGGTGTACACATAAAGGTTAAAAGCGTTATTTCACTAAAATTGTTAAATAGGGCATTTTGCATTCATTATGAAATATCATTTTGAATTTTAAATTGACTCCTAAAAGTGTAATTTAAAGAACCTGGCACTGATAATGGCGTCTTGTACTATGTATGTATGTAGTATAAGTAGCATTAATAATAACAAAATCCGGAATAATCTTGATATAACTGATTTCTAAGTGATAGTCTTTTTACATACTTTCTTTTTGTTGTTGGTGTTTTTGTTCATATACTATTCATATGCATGTATGCACATAAATTAATATGTACATTAGACTGCATCACTCCCCACACAAAAAAAAATTGGTACTGTTTTTCCACTGGAATTATAAAATCTATTATATTTTAAGACTTTCACCCCAATATCTCGCAAAAATATTAAGATTTACTTGAGTTGGACTGATTTGAAAATACCTCCGAAAATTTAGTTTTTTTATTAAAAAAACAGTTTTTTTTTTAATATTTTTTGAAAAATATTACCTCAGATGACATTTAAGCTCACAAAAATTGCATAAAAATATTTAAAAAAAAACTTCTACAGAATCATAATGAGCTTTTTGATGCTGTTTTTGAATTTTTTCAAAGACTGGTATGAGAAAAACCTAAATAACTCAGCCAAAACCTTACCAATTTTGACTTATGAGGTATCATTGATAAGGTATTTTCTCGCCCTTCTAATTATGAAAGAGAAAGGTAAGATAAACGAGCGTCATTCAGGTTGAATTGGGACATGAATTAATCGATTTTTTTTGAGTTTGTTGTTTTTAATAAATGTACATACAGTTATATACGTATGTATAATTATTATCATTCCTTTGAAATGCAAAAACTAATTCACATTAATTTAAAAGTAAATCGGAAAACATTGTTTTGTATTTCTTTTTTTAAATTTTCTGTAATTTTACAACAGACAATTTTAGAAACAGACCTTGACCTTTTAACTACACAGCTGGTTGCTTTGACAGCGTTCCAAGCCGCCACTTGACCAAACGAGTTTTTGAAGTAAAATCAAAGCAAATTAAAGTAAGCTAGGCGTACAAAGCAAGCCTGCATTGGCCCAGCGCCTGATTTTTATTCATAAAAAACTCCATTTTTACAGGTATTTTCAAATCGGTGCAGCTCACGTAAATCTTAATATTTTTCCGAAATATTTTGGTAGAAGTCTTATGGCCTTATTCATAAAAAATAAAGTAGGTTTAAAGAGCTTTATAAATTGACGTTTTTTTTTCTTATAAAGCTACTTTATTTTTTATGAATAAGGCCATTAGAATATACTAGTTTTTGTAATCCCGCCGGAAAATTCGCAACGTTTTTTGGTGATGCAGTCTAATGTACATACATACGTATAGTCTGCCTGTAATTCGATTTTGGCCGAGTTCAACAAATAATGCCATTCGTTTTTACAAACTTTTATTGAGTTTCACCTGTGAGTGATAAAATCTTGTAATCAACTTTTAACTTTAAGCTGCAGACTTGAAATTTCAAATTTAGCTCGGAACCCTATGACATTGCAATATAAAAGAGGAATTACTCCGCTAGGGGCCCAGGTGTAGAGACATTTGAAAAGCCCATATTTACGGTCCACTGAAATGAATAACACCACAAAAATGTTGCCTGATAGGTGGCTCAGGAGTATTTGGAAAAAATTATGATTCCACAAGAAATTTAGAGGTGCGGTGGTAGATTTTTTTCTTTTTTGTTAACCACTAATGAAATCTTGTATTTAAAAATCATGTTTTAAATTACTTGTTAATTAGTTTCTGAGTAAATACAAAAATTATTGTAGTATAGTGAAATTACAAAAAACTTGCAATACTTTACTTGGAGGTTAAATCTATTTGAATATTGTAAGGTCGGTCGCCGGGAATATAAAACGTGCTGGACTCAGGGGGTTGTGAAATTGCCGCCATATTGAAAGCGGGGCACCGTCGTTTTAGGTCTTCCACCAAACCTTCTTTTTTGCTTTCTCAAGTTCTTACGAGATTAACAGGAGTATCAGAAGTATAGAAGACAGACTCTTAGTCTTTTTTATGCATTGGTACAGGTAAAACTGCTACTGAATTCAACATTGAACTCTTAAAACCAGCCAATAAAATTGCATGGATGCCCAGTTTCGGAATTTTTCCCCTTTATCTTTCATCTCCTTCTAAATTCTTGTAAGATTTTAATTTTGATACATTTTCTTACAATGATTTTTTTTCGGCTAAGCATTTTTTCTTTGCAGTTTTAGCCTTTACATTTTGAATAAAAAGATTTCCTTTAGCAAATTTTTCCTAAAATTAAGTTTGAAACAATTGATTTGAGAAATATGGACTGGATTTCGAAACGTCAAATACCTTGCTAACATTAAGATTAAATTATATATATTCCTTGCGAACTGAATTGCCTTGAATACTGACACAGCAACCAGTTAAAGTTGAAAATCATTTTGAACCTATTCTGTATGTTTAAAACGAGTTTAAGCACAAATTTTGCCCTTTAGTAGAATTTTAGCAACAAATAAAATTTTCAAGAAAAACTGGGCGAGTGTGATCTCGAAAATAGAACCGACATCATCTTATAGATTTGTTGATGCTGTTTTCAAATTTGTTAAATTTTTTTTAGCTCGTCTAGTTTTTGAAAAAAAAAATTTGGAAAAAAAAGCCCAGTTCTAAATACTTAAAAAAAAAAATTAAGTCGGACGTAGTTTTTACGTATACAGAAACGGTTGTACATTACAGTATCTGATATAAGGGCCGAAAAAAGATGAATTTGCTCCAAGTGATTTTGAACACTCACTACAGGGTGTCGGTTTCAGAAAAAAATATAACTTTTTAGTTGACGTGATGCGATAATCTTTTCTGGGTGTACTACTGTTGCCGTCACGAAGTTTTCATGCAAATGAACATGTAGCTGTCAAACTACCAAATAGCCGGCAATAGATGACAAGATATAAGGTCTGATATATATTGCTTTTGAAGAGCAATGAGCGCTTAAAACCCAAACCGAAATGAGAACAAAATCTTCAGGAATGTTTTCACAAGAACAAAACTGTTAAAACTTTTTCAACGGTAATTATATAAGAACAAACCCCTGAGGAATGTTCTGAAAGAGAACAAAATACGAACAATACTTTCGGGAACATTTCTAAGAGAACAAAATGGTAACCAAAGTCTCCGGATCGTTCTGGCAAAGAACAAAAACGGAACAAAAGCCTAAGGAACTTTCTCTTGAAGAACCATTTGGGAACTAAAGTCTCAAGAATTTTCTGACAGAGAACGAAACGGAAACAAATCTTCTATGAAATATTTTTGTCATAGGGTTTTATTAGTTTGAAACGCTTGAATATTAAAATTAACCAAAAAAAAAAACGAATGACTTAAGGCACACACTTTTTTTTTTTTTTTTTTTTTTTTTTTTTTCATAGAAAACTAAAAATTTTTCCATAAATAGGCAGTGCTATCTAATTATAAACGATCTGAAGTTGAAATGATCCGGCTATCCGCTGATTTAGAATTAACAATCATGGGTTACACTGAAACGACTTTTCATCCCATCATGCAGACGCCACTTTCATTATTAACCTTAAGTACACAAAACTTTTGTTCTCGTTATGTTCTCTAGCAGAAAGTTCACCAGACTTTTGTTCTCGATTTCCCGTTCTCATTTTGTTCTCATTGAAAACCTTCCCGAAAGTTTCGTTCTTATTCTGTTCTATTTGAGAACGTGCCCAATAGTTTTGTTCGCATTTTGTTCTTTACGGAAACATTCCCGAACCGTTTGTTCTCATTTAGTCTCCGTTAAAACTGCTCTTAGTACTTTTTCTTCCGCTTAGTTCTTTTGTGGGGACGTTCTTGAGATTACATGCAGTCCTAAACCAAAACTGCAGCGCGCTCTCGGTCCCTGCTTTAAATTACCATAAGTTCAACAATCGTTACAGTTCTAATTTATTCTATACCCTATCCTCTTCAACGAAAGCGATGATGTTTCTAGCGCTGTTAAGATTTTTTGTCATGGCCTTGCTCAAATATATCTGCGGCGCCTAATAGCCTTGAAGGCTAAGGTCCCACCTTTTCCGCTTTTAGTGTCTTCTCGGGCTCCAGGTCCTCAGCATCCGACCAGAAATTGCTTGCTGAGTTGTGATATCGTGCCCCCTAGGTGGGAGCACCTCTGCTTCACTGTGCAAGTGATGTTCGAAATATAGAAATTATACAAAAGAGGGGAGAATATACTAGCCTGTGTGAACCCCGGTTTTAACAACCTTTAGTGCTCTGTTCAAAGCAGATTTTCGTCTAATATTTCTTCATCTCAAGAGTACTAAAAAAAAGCTAACTTGCTTTCGGTCATTGTACACTTCGGTTTTGGTCTATGAACCTTTTATATTTGAATGTTTTCTTTGTTTTAACAGGTACTTAAAAATAATAGGTAGTTAATTTATATTGGTTTACAATAATAATAATTGTTTTTAAACTATTTCATTATTACTTTCAAATTTGCATTTCTCAACTTTTGCTTTTTTCTTAACAAATTTTGGTTATTTATATCCTCTAACTTAATAAATATATGTAGCACTACAAGTCAATATAATAATAGAAAATTGATATTTTCCATCAAAAAACAAAGTACACAGTTCACTACTACATTTTTACGGTAAATACTACTAATAACACAATATTTTTTTGCATATCATAGTTTGTTTCTTCTTACATATTTCTTTTTAAAAAATTTTGCACGCCTCATGTCACAAACCGAGCAAACGGTAATTCACTCATTCCTTTGCCCAGCGGCTAATAGACTACATCACATTTAGAATATAATAAATCTCATCTACATAACTTCTTTGACTTGCTAACTGCTTAAATAACTATATAATATTCGTACATTCTAACTGCGCACTTTATTTCCGCTTTGTTCGTCAAACTTTACTTCATACACTGGTTCCTTAGAGCTGCTGCAGTGTCACGGGAACTAGATTTAAAGTTAAGGCACTTAAACTAGTATTTGGTTGTATGTATGTATGTATGTACACATATATATTTTTATGTACATGTATTACGCATACGCTCTACGCATGCCGGACTTGAGTAATACCCTTCTACATATTGAAGGACAGCGGTTTCATGTTCGCCACAGAGGACATACGACGCACGCGACCCATCATTTTGCGTTCAATATCTTCAAGAGTTTTGCCCTGCGTCTCTGGCACATACAGTATCACGAAGAACAAGCCCACCACACAGATGGAACCAAAAAGCCAGAATGCACCATGCGCACCCATTGTGTCTGCAAATATTGAAATCGAAAAATTAATGTTGCTCTGTTGATCTCAATCGTGTGTGTGCATACAGGTAAATACATATGTATATAGGTGTTACTCACCAATCATGTCGCGGAAAGTCTTCGTTACGATGAATGTACATGACCAGTTGAAAGCCGTGGCCACCGATGCGGCTGAGCCACGAATCTTTGATGGCAATATCTCGCCCATCATCAACCAGGGAATTGGTCCAAAACCGAGTGAAAAGCCAACTACGTAGATAACAAAACTAGCCAGTGGCAACCAACCAATTTCAGAGATATCCATGCCAGCTGCTTTGCAGTAGAAGAAACCGCCAAGTGTGAAAAGTGAAAGAATCATGGCCACATCGGAGATATACAGTAAAATCTGTGAAAAGAAAAAAATCATGAATTTGTATCCATAAATGTAATAACATCTACATATGTACATCATTTATATATAATATACATATTTGCATTTGCATAAAAAATATTTCACACAATCTTAGTACCTTACGTCCCAGCCGATCGATAAGTACAGTTGCCATAAATGTTGCTATAAAGTTCACCACACCCACAATGATTGTACACACATTGCCATCAATGGTTGATCCCGCATCTTGAAATATCGATACTGTATAGAAAATGACTGCATTTATGCCGCTGAGCTGCTGGAAGAACATAAGACCCAACGAAATGGATAAAGGCTTCAAATTGCTGCGCCTCATCAACTCCATTAGCTGATTGCCTGTTGCATGTCGGTCAGCTTGAGCTTGTGTTCGCAATAGACCCTTCAATTCAGGTTCCACATCGGCTTGTCTGCCACGCAGCCATTGTAGAGCACGACGAGCACGATCTTCACGTCCACGTGAAACATACCAACGTGGAGTTTCGGGTATAAGGAACATAAGTATCAGGAAGGGCACAGGTAGTGCACCACCAAGGAAGGCTAGCTTCGACCAATCCATGTATGTACCGGCAACGAAACACAGTAATATGCCTATATTACCGAAAGCAGTAGGCAACAGACCCAATGAGCCACGTACTTCAGGCTGTACCGTTTCACCTAAGTACACGGGCAGCGAGAGCGAAGCAATACCCACGCAGAAGCCGGCAAGCGCACGGCCAGCTAGCACCATGCCAACGTTAACAGCACAGGCGATTAGCAGCCATGAGATAATGAAGGGCACAGCGGTTGCGAGGATAGTGTTGCGACGACCAAGGTATTCAATGAAGGGACCGCCAGCAATGCCACCGGCTAAGCCCGCCAAAGGCATTAGACCACCGACCCAAGAGGCCTGAAATTGAAGTCGGAAGATTTATATTTTATTTTGTACTGCATTACGCTTCTAATAGCTAACTGAAAAGTTTAAGTTGCAAACTTACCGCTTGTGGTGTTACGTCGAAGTCTGTGTAATTCCGATCAGTCATGGAGACCAAGGCTGGCGAAGTATAGGCGGATGAGAAACCAACAACCAATGAACCCAGGGACACGCTAAGTGCAGCAAGTACCTGAAAGAAAAGGAAATCTTATTAAATAGTTCGATAGCAAATAATTATTCAAGCTTTGTAGGTAAAAGTGCACTTAAAACTATATTTCTAAAATTTTTGCCGCCCTAGATAATTTTTTGAATCGTACATTTGTATGTACATATCGATGGTGCTCTGCAATAACGACATAATTCAAACTCTAATCCTTGACAAATCCATGTTATATCCTTACATAAGTAAGTAACAAGTATTACTTAAGTAGTAAGGGTTTTATTTCTAAATTTTCGAATAGCGTCCATATTGCAGTGTACCATCGGTATGTATGTATGTATGTATATAGCATGTAGGACTTAAAGCGGTTAATAACTGCACCTGCTGAAAAATTCCCGATGGCTTTGGCTCATCCTCGAGCACTGTGAACGACATAAAAGTGTCGGCACGTGCAAGCAACTTCATTTTGAGGCGAATTTTAAAATATTTCTTACACCGCTAAAACTTTGTATCAATAGATTTCGTTGCATAAATTTTTATGGAATGCTACCTACAGAAATACTGTAGAAATGTTCTAACGAGCCTACTTTAAACGAGGTGCTGCTGCTACGCGTTGTTCGATAGCTGGAAACGAACTGAAACTAATTTGTTCATATTGCACTATCGTCGTAATGCAACACTTTTGAATACTCGATAGCTGTAGGCTGCCCTGCTGTGGACGCTACAGCTGCTGCTGTCGCTTTCTAGGATCGCTGACTGGCGTAGGCGGTGCAGCAAGCGCACACGATTTGTTGTACGCATTGTGCATCCGAAGATTAAAACACATTCGTTCCAGCAATACATATATGCACGACGCCGTATTGTATATTAACATTTTTTTTCAAAATTTATTTCAAACTTTTTATTTTATTTTATTTTTTAAAGATTCTGATAAGTAAAGAAGTAGCAGTCACTTATGCTCGACCCAGTGTTGGACGGAGTTTGTGGTAACTCTTATTAATGCTGGAGAGATAAGAATGTATACAAAAAATACCGTTGGAAAATATTACTTGCCATCTAGAACGTCTACAATTTCGGAGAGTGGCCGAATAAATAACTGGTCATTGTTTAATCAAGAGGCAAGTCCCATCTGTTGCAATGAGGATTAAATTGAAAGCATAGTACACTATTCTGAAAACTATGCTGTGCTAGCGGGGACTAGCAGCCGCTCATTTTTCGCATTGCTTTTATTCCTGCTTGGCGGACCTTAGTTCAGCAGGCGAAGGGGCGCGAAACGAGCTGCTGAAACGGCACTACAAGGGGCTCACTGAGCCAATGTGTGCCCCACTCTGTTACTGAAGGCAGACAGCCATTTCTACCTACCCTAAACTACATAGGTTAGTGATAAGCTAAGCTTAATTATTATTTTTTATTTCCTTTTACATAGTTTATTTTTGTTAAAAGTTTTTAAAATCGAATTACCCCATTTTTATTGCTAGCAAATGGTCATAGAATATTTTTGACGGTCAAATCTGTAATCTTTTCGTTAATGAACTTTGTTGAAACATTTACAACAAAGTACATAACACTAGGCGTGATAGCGCCTCACTATGACCCTAGCCAAGAACATCACCACTTTTATTACATATGTACATATTTCCCCAACCTTGCTCACCTAACCACGCTACTCATTAGTGCTGCTTGAATTAAATATTTGTAAAAAATTTTGGCTTTACATATCTACATATGTATGTATGTATGTATGTACAAGTGTGCACATAAGTATGTAACTTTGCCAATTATAAATTGATAACGATTCTATAAAATATCGGTTCATCCAATTCGTTCGCAGAGTCCAGTGATGCGCATCTGCGCTTATCACGCTGTTTTCGAATGTGCTTTTCAGCCAGCCGATTCTGATAATACGAGTAGCTAGCTACAAATTGAAAGTACAAAGGCAACAGCAGCAAAGGCAGCAGTAGCAGTAGCCGTAGCAATGACAAAATCAGTGTAGCAGCAGCCGCAAGTAATTCGGTGTAGGTTATTTCTGAGATCGCGCTGATTAAGCGATTTTGGTTTGAAGCAGTTCGCATTTATTTTATTTTATTTTTTGTCAACTGTAAATACTGCCGCAACCGTGACACTGATCCGCCATAGCGTTGATTTTTTTTCTATTTAAAAGTACAAATTTTTTACTTGTATTACTATTAGGCACTACGCTAATTTCGCACCGATGTTAAGCTCCTTTTACATGCAACTGAAATGCATTCTTAAAAATGTAAACATTCGCAGGCTATGCTATGAAAATACCATGAATAATTGTGGAACGTACATACCCACCTACATACATCTTTCACGGTACGTATTTCATTTTTAATTTTCCTGCAAATTATTTCATTCGGCTGACTATCTGCAAACGTTTATATCCTGTTTGAGTCAAGGTAGCAAAGCCTAACCATCCATCAAAAGTTGATTGGCTGAAATGTGAACAGAGCAGACGGTGCATTAGAGAGCGTATATCCCGCACGTGTCCTGCTTGTTACCTTGACTTTGCTTTAACGCATCCTACGCACTCAATGAAATTGCTATCATTATTTAGTGCGTTATTTATACTTTATTCAATTTATAGCTTAAAAGACGCCTTATGCCTTTGCATCGTACACTTGTTTATAAATATAGCAACAGTTAAAAATTTATTGCCCACTAGCAGGCCTTCGATGCGGGCATTCTGGGTGGCTATGTAATACTATTGCATTGTTTTAAAGAAGTCGAAAGACATTGAAATGTGGCTTAAAACCTGGGCAAGTTTATGCAGAAGTACGTAAGTCAATCGTATGTGGTCTTCAATGTAAAGTTGAGAAACAAAGCGAATACTCCTACATATGTAGCTCAAAAATTATTCAGTTCCCAATGCTTCGGATTCTGAGCCAACTATGAAGTTTCAAGCCTCTAGGTCATCGGAAAGTTGATCAAAAATTGATTGCAAGATTTGCCCCTAACAAACAAACAAACATACATAAATACATACATATAAAAGCTTGTAAAAATAGTATTTTTTCTCTTCTATTTCAAAGAAATCCCTATATGGTTCCTCATGACTTAAAAAAATGTAACTCTTGTTCAAGAAGTACCGATTACAAAGACCTGCAGTGGTTTCCCTCTTAAAATCTAATTAGCAATTTAAGTAGGTGTTGGGTACTTAGCTACGAAAAAATAATAAAAAAAAATTCCATCACGTACATTTTCCGAGAAAAATAACTTTTTGCATTTATATTCGAATTCCCATAAGTCTCTCTTATCTAAGTAGTCTTTTAGGGTATTTTTAACCAATACGGTTGTTTTTTTTTTTAAGTAAAAGTCTAAACTATTTAATGTATTGTTTTATCATGAAAATCGTTAAAAATTATTTTTATCAGCGTATTATTAGCGTTAACTTCGAATTTCTGAACAGCGCTGTATTTTAATTTAACATAAAAAATAACATAATTGTTAGAAGAAAAGGGAAAAAATTTAAATTTGTGTTTTTACCTTTTAAATTTTTGAAGAAAAAAATAAACGATAAAATCTGCCTGATATTTTTTTGAACAGAGAATAACTTGGAATTTTTTATTTTTATTTTTTAAGTACCAATAAAAAAAATAAAACACTATAATTTTGTTTTTTTTTTAGACTAAGTTTTCGTTTGAATCGGGACCGCACAGGAGTTTGTGAATTTTAAATAGTCTACGTATTTAACTCGGAATTTTGCTTAAACTACTGGGACTTTTTCGAACGTTTTCAATATTCTTCGTTTTATATATTTCGGAATTTTCGCTGCTTTTCCGTACTTTTTGTGACTTTTTGGTATTTTTTCAAGATCTCTCGGGATTTTTCGTTATTTGTTGTTTTTGCTTTTATTTTTATTCACATGTAATAAAATAAAATTCTTCGCGATTAGTCGAAATTTTGTCAGGATTTTAATGGCTCCTTTCGGGAATTTTTCGAGATTTTTTGGCTCTCTTAGTACCTATTCAGAACTTTTCGGAATTCTTTTTTCACTTTTAAGGATTTTCAGGGGCTTTTGGGAACTTTTCGGGACTTTCCCATTTTTTTTGTTTTTTATTTTTCGAAGTTTAGCGACCCATAAATAATAATTTTTTTCGAAAACAAGCATACAGTCCGAACGCTATTAAAAAACTTTTACAAATGAAATGTTTTCTTGGCTGGTTATTTTCCAAAACAGGCAGGGTCTTAAAACTTCGCATTAAATATTTAAAAAAAGTAAATTTTTTCTTTGAAATTTCTTTAAGGAAACACTGCTGTTGGGTTTAAGTTAATCCCCTGGCTGCAATAGGCATATGAGGGACTATGATTGCATTTCCATTTTCTCTAAGAAGAGCTGGCCTTTAAGCATAACTGAACGCGGATAGCTTGAAAAGAACTTTATCTAATTCGTGTATAAATGCCAAAGCACTGAATAACAAGTTAAAGGGCGAGTAATTCAGTCTAACACTGCCAAGGTCATATGCTGTTATTATTTTTATTACTATAAGCATTTTGCTAATAGGTATAAAAAATTGTATGTCAGGTGCTACAATTAAATACTTCAAGCTTTCAGTTTCTTAGCCGCCACGAAAAAGTTCAGCTATTTCAGGCTTTGATGATTTTTATTAAAATTAAATAATTATTTAATTTTCAAGCTTTCTAATCGCTGCTTGCGCGAAACTTGTATGACTACATACAGACATATATACCTTTTAGTAAAAACAATATTTTTTCATACTCAATAAAACGAATCTATATTTTTTTACGCTTAATACGCTTTGCGTAGAAAGAAAAATAAAGTGAGATCATTGAAAATTCTCCATCAAGCAAAATTATCCATAAAATTGTTAACGTTGAGGAGTTAAAGATCTTGAATGGTACAGATTTTTCTGTAAGCTTAATTATTTCTCGGTTTAAGTTTCGATTGTTTCATTCAAGCTGTCACATTCGCAGCTGTTTAAATACCAGTGTAATCGAAACATTAATGGCCGCATTCATAAAAAATAAAGTAGGTTTAAAGAGCTTTATAAATTGACGTTTTCATAAATTTTTCAATTTATAAACCTTTTATAAGCTATTTTTTTATGAATAAGGCCATAAGAATGCAACCATATAAATAAGTATTCATCTAATTATAATTATTTCAACTGATTCCCATTGTAAAAAACACCGTTACAATTGCCAATAATCGTCCATAACGATTATACTCGGCCGGGACGAAAGAAATAAATAAATAAGAAAAAAAAATTACTTTAAATAAGAATTAATACAAATATTGATTAAGCATTCATAGAGCGTTAGTTTATTTTGTTGACTAAAAATTTCGGTTTAGTAATGCAAAACTCTTTTAAAGGAGGAGATCGGACAAGTAAGGCGTGTAAATACTGTGGTTTCCGAATCAGATGATCGCAAAAAGCGTTAATTTTATTGAGTTTTGGATAGTCTTATTTTACTGGCATTAGGGTTGTATCTTAGGGCGGTAGTAACTGAGATTTGATGGGTAGGTACTAAAACGGGGTACTTGAGATCAATGGACTAAAAAAAATGAACAAATTTGTGCGAAATTCGCGAAAATCTAACAAATTTCAAAAAATTGTCACCAAAATTTCAAACTTTTTAATCAGAATCTCTAGAAAAAATTTTAGTTTGCACTTTTGTAGCCCAATAAATTTAAGTACAATAAAGTTTCAAGTTTGTGAAAAATTTCATCATCAAAAGTCATTTTTTGTTAAGACTTTCACGCATTTTCTTCCATATAAACAGTTTTCGAACTTACTTTGTATGGAAGAAAACGCATGATCCCAACCGCAAAAACAAATTATTAATAATTAGTTAAAATATTTTTTTTTTTCGAAATTGTCTTGCAAAAATACACTAGACTTGGGGGGTGTACGGCGAACGTTTTTTTCTTTGCTGGTAAGGTGGTACGGTGTATGTATGTTTGTATTTAAAACTCTTTTTTCAGATAATTTTCTGGGGAAAAAGCTCTTCGAATAAACATTTTCATAAAAACATGATTTTCAACACTGTCAAGAAGCACATTAATGTTGCTAAATTTAGACGAAATACATATTTTTGTAGAAGGATATAAAGTAAAAAATTGTATGATTGGCCTTGAGAAGGCTAACAGATTTTGCTTTGTGTGGAGCTGAGGCAGTCTAAATTACATACACACATACATACATAACATTTTAAGACTTAACGTCCGTCCGATTTGGTTTTACAACTTAGAAAAATACACGTCTAAAAAAAAATTCAATATATCAAAACTGTACTTTTTTAGGCTATTTGTCAGACATGAATCTTTATGAAAAATCAAATATTGTGTAAATTTTCAAACAACACTTGTAAAAATAGTGTTTTAAAAACACCTTTCAATTGAATTCGACACCTTTAAGACTTTCAATAAAACTTTCTAAATACCATATCCTTTCGATTTTCACCCCACTCATTTATGTATGTACCTGACTCCAAATATAAATTGGCTGGTAGTTCTCGTTTATGTCGAATTTAACATTTGGATCCATTTTCGAACTCGAAAAACACTTGCAAATACAATTATCCTCTTTAGCAATGTGCCAATATGTATGGATTTCCCAGCTTTAAAATTGATTTATTGGCACGACTGGCGTTTTAAACGCAACTACGTTGAACTCCTGTGTTACACTCAGTCTATCCACTGATTCCTAGAGTAGACCAGCACAGCCTCGTAGAATTTTTATCAGTACAATAAATTGTAAATTGATTATGTCTTGAAAAATATGTGTGTTTGTATTGTTTTTTTTTTATTTTCATTTTTCAATTTCATTGTATTCACACTTTGAGGTCATTTAATCTCTCCAGACAAGTCGCAAATTTCGATTATCACTTATATATTTTAATACGTACATAAATATGTATATGTACATATGTAATATATAATATATAATTGCTATGTATGTATATGTGTAAGTTTATTTAATGATTCGAAAACAAAACTATTTACTCATCTTCGAATTTCGAAGAAAATTATTGTTTTTTTTTTTGTGAAAAAGTGAATATATTTATTTACTTACATATACTTATATATATGCACATAGATCATGCAAGTAAGCGAAATCGGTGGTGTGCGAAAGTAAAACCACATTTGTTATCATCACTATACAAATGTTGAAAAATCTATTAGGCATTTGAGTGCTAAGATTTTTTTTTTTTAAATATGTGCACAGTCCCATTTGGGATTCCCTGTACTGCTGCTATCAAGTGTTTATTCTTCAAGACAGTTTAAAACATGTTTTAATTACTTTTGAAATGCATAAGTACTGAGGAAATTCGACAAAGTACAAGTACAAAAATATTATCTCACATTATACATACATTCATTTATGAATATGTAGTACATATCGGCGTCAACAATGCAAAAGGCTCTAAATGGCACATATGAAATTTTAATAGGAGAAGCAAAGCACCGAAACTTTCACCTTATTGTACTAGAATTTAATGGGCTTCAAAATTTCTTACTTAGAAATTTTCTAAAAATTATGAATAAAAAGTTCGTTGTGATTTTTTTTTTTTTAATTTCTCTAAAAAGTTTGAAATGTCGATTTATATGGCATTAAGTATTATGTAATTAATTAGACCTTAATAAAAAAAAAAACATTAAACAAGCAAAACTGGTCAAAATGTCTTTAGCCTATTTTGTATGTTTATGCAAAATTCCACAAACGATTTGCTGTTAGCTTATATTGTTTTACTTTAGTGCATTAAAAATGTAGGAAGCAAAAGAAGCTTTTTTATATAAATGCAGTATTTTCCAAAAGAAAAGTATAATATGTACTGAAAAAAGTATAGAAACGAGCCTTAACCATACGATTTGCTTTCCTGCGCAATGAACGCACCAATCGCTCTTTAAGCTGATCTATACCCGGAGTGTAGCGATAGATTATAAAACTGCTTTCAAGAACATGCACCAGTTACTTGCTTATGTACATACATACATACATACGTATTAGGGTGTTCCTTAAAATATCAACATAATGGGACACCCGTTTATTTTGTTCTACGTAAATAATATACATCCACGAAAATTTCATGACTAAACAATTTTTTTTGGTCGCCATTAGCGTTCGAAAAAGTTTAATTTTCTTTTTAAATCGCAAAAATTTTGAATTTGTAATTTATATAGATAAGTTTCAATAATATAATTTTAGTAGATTTTTAATCATAATTTGAACGAGTTTTTGCTATTTTAAAACAAAAAAATTTCAAACCCTAAAGCTAGATTTCCACTAGGCATTAAATGACAAAAATTGTAATGGCAAAGTCCTTACGTTAAAAAGATAGTCATTAAATTCATTTCCATATGGCCTTTCTTAAATGCCTCTCAAGTTTTTGTCATTTCAATGCCTAGTGGAAATTCGGCATAATAGCGACATTTAAAAGTTTGTTCAAAATTTTAAGGGGAGCTTCTTACAAAATGTAGATGTTTATACTTTAAGGACCACCCTAACACATATACATATTTTAATGCTCTAATTAACGCTAATTAATTACATATAAAACCTACACTTAACTACTATTTTCTTATATGTAAATTAGCTCACCTGCGTCCAAATATATATTGGATTCGTTGTCGGTCGGTACACTTCCAGTTTGGGTTTGCCATCCTCGGTGATTTGTCTGACAAAAGGTACAGCGTTGCGCAGGTTTTCATTTTTCTTTTTACCCATTTCATCCATTTCATACAGTCTATGGCTGTAACAAGCACCAAAAAAGCTCATTAATTTCTTCATTCACACTTTCACCCAGCACACACACACACACACACACACACACACACACACAGTTCACTCACCTCTTTCGGGAGTCTGTACTTATGGAGCGTTGTTGCTGGAAATGTTGACGACTTGTCAAATAATCCTCCTCACTTTCACTTTCCAAGTCCTTGAGATCAATAATGACCGGCTTGGTTATGTCCTTGGGGCGGTGTATTAAACGCTTATGCTCCACATCATCCGCTTCCTCTTCACTGTCTGTACTGGAACCCTGCAGCACCTTTTCCAGCCTGAAGCTGACGCGGGGATCTAAACTTTGATGTTTTCGACCTTGGAATTCTCGTCGATTTTTACGAAATTCTTCCTCAGAGGAGGATTCTTTCAGCATGTCTTCCAGAAAGCGTGTACCCTTCACATCAAGCGAGACATGTTTTTTAGCTTGAAACTGCCGACGATTGTCGTTTGCAAGTATGTTTTTGAGGTCCTGAAAAATGTAAATAAAAACGAAAAATATTTCGGACATAAGTAGACGGATTTTTTTCTTTTTTTAAACAATTTTTACATACCTTCAATATACCCTTGTGGTCTACGCTAATTGTTTTCTGTTGTTGGTAGCCACTGCGCAGGCTCTCGAAATTATCCTCATCACTGCTGTCAACAGAGCGACGCTCGAAGGACACGCGCGATCCCTTTAGCGACTGCTTGCTGCGTTGCAGGTCGTCATTGGCTAGCGAAACTGTGCTGCGCTGGTGGTGATCGCGGTGACTGTGCTGTGATGACGGTGGAGGTGGTAGCGCCACGAAATCCTTATTGCCGCCGCCAGTTTTAGTCTGACTGCTAGGCAGCGGCAATGTGGGTGGGGCGCGTATGTCATTGTCTTCAATGATTGGACCAAACTGTAGAGGTGTATCGTCGACGCTGAAATTATTTTGCGGCACCATTTGTCTTTGCTGTGCTGTGGGTCCTCGTGGAAAGAGGAATGGATCCTCGGGTAGAATTGTGTCCAAACTGGTTGCTGTGTTGGATTGAGAGAGTCCCTCTTCGACGCGTTCGTAGCTGTCCTGAATGGTGTTGGTATATAGAATGCTTTATTAGTTTTTTGTTTTTTTTTTTTTGCACATTTGAGCCTAAAAAAGCTGAGAGATTTACCGTTGAACGCGTGAGTTTGTCCTTTATTTTGCCCATTGCATTGCTGAGCGGTTGGTGGCCACTGCCACGGTTATCTCGTCCACTCATTGTGGTGCAGTTTTTTGTTGAATTTTGTTGTTCTTTTGTGTGTTTAACGTAGTTAACTCGACAATTTCTCAACTTCTGCTATTTACCACACTTTGAATTTTCTCTTTTTGTTGCTTATTTGTTTGATAATAATGCGCTAAAAGAGAGTAAGAGAAGCGAACGATGTGTGAGTATACTTTGAAGAGAAAGAGAGCGAAAGAAATGTGAAATTGTACGCTGCAGCATTGCACTCTTTACATGCAAACGCTCGCGTTGCAACTTACAAGCGCAACGAGAAGCTGTGAGTGCATTTTTTGATTAGCTGTTGCAATTTCGTGTGCGCTGATTGTAATTGTGGGCGCGTAGCATTGATTGTGTTTTTTTTGGTAGCGTTTGCACTTCAAATGTCATTTGCGAAAATATGAAAGTAGAAACAGTTATTGCGCGCGCACCTGTCTCCGTTTGATGCGATATTTGCGAATTCTAATTGTCTGCTTTTTTTCTGTGTATGTGCAAATATACATACATACATACGCGCAAGTATGTATGTAGTTAACTATTTAGTTTGCCAGATTTTGTTTACAAATTATTAAATTGTTGCTTTCAAAATTTCTATTACTCAGCACTTTTACTTTATTTATTTGTTGCCTTTTTCACTTTCGCCGTTTGTTTGCGAAAATTTAATATACATACAAACAATTGCACAGTCAAATAAGTACTCGTGTATTCACTAATTGTTTTCGGCCTTTGTATTTCGATTTTCAAAAGTTCTTCTAATTTTAACATTCACGGTCTTTGTTCGCTTTGCGTTTGCACGCCAAAGTTTGCCCGCTCTGCACGCCCGCTTCTAACTATACGCCTTGTAAATCGCACTGCCTGCGGTTTGCATTGAAGTATGGCAGATTTGAGCAAAAAATATTTAGAAAACTACATAGTGTATTACGTAAAAATCGCAGACGGAGCAATTTATTTTATTCAACTACATTTATTTGTCTTCTTACCGTCTGGGCTTAATTAACTTAGACAGTTAGTACATAGTATTGCGTGTATTCAAGTGTGTAAAAATAATGAAAAAAAATCAATTCTAAACTTAGAGTAAATTTGGGAATCATCCGCTCATTTTCAAATAAATGCAATTAATTTCATTTCTGACATAAATTCCGTGATAAAGTTCCTCACTAAAGGAGGAAAAGCCTAAGAGATCGTTATGGAAGTGATGCCGTCTGTTTACTTGGACTCTTGCCTGGGAGAAACAATTATTTATCAATGGTATATTCTACTGCATCACTTGAAGTCCATTTAAGTCCTGATAAAGAAGCAAGTGGCAAAAATGGATAGAGAACAATTACGATAATTTTGAGTATCCTTTATGCTCAACTTGTTACAAGTATATTCAAGGTCAGCGCAAAACGTCTGCCGAGTATAATTACATTGCTTTGGAAGCAGAGGGCACAAAGTTTTTATGCGAATATATGAATCACAATTTTTGTATGAAGTAGAATTGTGTACAATAATAAAAAAAAATTAAATACTCGCGTAATTTTTTGTTTGTTCTACTTTTTTTCTCTTTTTATTTTATTTTTTAAATTGTCGTACACATTCAAAACCAGGCTCATTTGAAAGAGCAATTCATCTGCTATTATTAGGACGTTTTTTTCATTTATTATACGTAACCTTCTGTTGCGAAATAAAAGGATTTATATTAAAGAACTTTATATATCTTTTGCAAATAAAGCCATATCGTTCAGACTTGGCGATTGTGTAGCTAAAAATCCGTACAAATTAAAAAAAAAAACTAAGTGTTCATTTTGAAAACATATTAAAACCAGGTCTTAAAAGCCGCAAGGTCTAAGCAAGGATAGCAAACTCTGTGGGTAATTTGAAGCGTTATAGAAAATCTCAATTCAAAAAAATTTGGGTTTCCTGCACATTCGGAACGTTGACTTCCTCTAAAAATGGTTTTGTTTTAAAATCTTGTATATATCAAATTAGTCAGAAAAAGAAATTTAATAAACCGCATTACTAAGAATTATATGTCCATTTTCGAAAATATTCCTTCACTGTATATAACGCTCATATCTTATACATTACTTGAGCTAAGACAATTATCGATATTTTTTAACAGCTAATAAAATTTGTAGTGTATGGTTCGGTTGCCCCCTTCTTCATATCGAAACCTGAGTGGAAGTTCGACCTATCTCGGCAGCCAGTTCGAAAATGCCCTATCTCAGAAAACTTTTCAAGAACGCCCTATTTAAGAATTTGGTTGAAGAACGCGCTATTTCTGAATTTTTGCAGGAGGTTTGTACTTTAAAACTTTTTTGTTGTTAAAATCACGAAATTTTGCATGAAAATCTGCATGTATACAAGTTCAATGACGTGAAATTTTGGCGCTGCCACATAGCTTAACACCGGCTAAAACATCCACAGTATTTTTGCATAGAATTCCTTTCCGCGTGGGCGGCCTACGGATCATAACCCTTAATCAGCAGAATCTCAATTCCTGTGTAGTGTTCGTCCGATACCAGCATGTGCTCGATGCCTGTACTCATTGAAAGTATCGAAGAGAATACTCGATGCTACTTAAAGTATCGCTAGGAAATACTAGATTCTACTTGTACTCGAAAGTACTCACACAAGAAATTTTAATTCAATGCCCATTTACAAAATAACGACATAGTACTGTGGAGAAAGGCTTATAGCCCAGTTATGCATACTTGCACTGCTATACCATTTTTACGTAAAAATCAAAACCCAACATAATTCTACATGTTAAGTGCTATTAGTTGGGTAACCGCTTACACGCACAGCCCGTTTAACAGATTCTTATGTGACAACTCTTATACAAAGCTAAGTATGCATAACTGGGCTATTATGAAGAGCTGAAAATGCTTTTTGATATCCTTCTGTGTATTTTGAAAAGCGGTTACTTGGAAGTGCTGAAATAGGAGATGATAAGTAATTAGAAAGCTCATTGTTTACTCGTGTTTGATTTTTCGTTTCAAAACGATCCATAGACGACGCTTCTGCAAATCATAGGCTGACTGCACAACCTCCTCTAATTCGATACGATTTTCGTTCTCCACTTTCGTTAGTTTTAACCCTAGCAAAATCGCGTGGTTCACATCTTGAATCGTTTTTTTTTTTCAAAAACTACAGCACAGATCTATTTTCAGTTGATTTTCCCAAATTTAGCAAACAAGTAAATACTTGTACTTTGTACTCGATACCCATGAATTACTTGTACACGCGTATCAAAGTACAAAAAATACTCGGTACTTGGTAGAGGTATTCGAGTATATACTTCTAAGTACTGGTATCGGAACATCACTATTCCTGTGTTGCCGGTGGAGAGAGATGGGGCGGGGTCGCCTCTTCTGTCTGCATTTATTGTGCATATGAATATTCAAGGTGGCGTGAAATAAAAGAAAATGCTTTGTTTTTTGGAAGTTCCAATTTTTTTTTCATACGTCTGGCAGTACACTTTTTCTGTCAGTTTCCACCATTTGTTTATTTGGCTATTTGTATTATATATTATAGCGAAATAAAGAGATAATTATACGTTAGATATACTACATATTTTGTGAAATTGTCTACAAAAATTTATTTAATTAAAACTATTAGTTACTAAATAGTGTGTGTTATATTTAACTATAGTTAAATAACTGCCAACATTCGCAGCGATTTCCGTCCAAAAAACGTCTCATGCTTTGCATAAAAAAGCAATTGGTGTACTATATGATAGCCAATCCTGATTTCCTTTAGCATTAGTGGTTAACTCTCCTATATTAGTTATTGAGGGAATTTTTTAATTTTCATCCTAATTCTTATATTTTGCTCCCCTTTGTTTGCTCTATGTATTTATATAAGACCATCACTTATGTGCAAAATTTCTGCTTTGATTTCGGCATTCTGGCTATTCACCGAGTTGTTCATGAATATTCAGTAATATTATTTTTTATTTATCTTTGTATATATGTACATTGAAATAAATACATATAGTATGTAGTATGTACGTTAACCCGAAAATACCTGGTTATGTATGTATTTTTGGCACATATATTTCGAGTACCTCTGTAGTTAAGTGCATCTATTTTTATTTTTTCCTCTTGTTCTTAAAAGCTTTTACTTTCTCATCAGAAATTTTTGCGAAAATTTATATTTTCTTTAGTATACGTACATAAATACTCTACTGGCACATGTTAGGTGTATATGTATGTACATTTTTAAATACATATGTACTTAGTTAGCATATTTATGACTTTCGTTTTCATACAAGTTTTTCTGGTATTTTCGCTTATGCAGAGTTTCATTGAATAGCGAAACATATGGTTCTGGTTTGATATACAATACTTTTTTTTTTGTTTGTATTTGAACAATACTTATTTATGTACACGTTATGCCAAAGCCTATTAATTTAAAATTTGTCATTTTTGATATGTCTTATAAAAACTTTCTTCATTTTCCTTTTAGCAAAAGCTATAGCAATATTTTGTTCTGATTTACTGTAAATAAAGCGCGGTAAAGTGTCTCTATTTAATAAATGTACTTATAAGTACAAATTAGTATATGCTTCATTGCATACATAATTGGCAAAAAAAAAAATACATTGGAGATTCGAATTTGGAAAACCTGGCGATATGTGCAAATATTAAAATTGATTGAAGTAGTTTTAATTTAAAATTGGGCGGAAGTGCAAAGTGTATATATTTTTTAAATATAATTATTTTATTTGCTTGCAGAATCTTTAACACAGAAAATTTTTTTAGTGAATTTATGCCAAAATTTCTACAAAAGTTATATACATATCACAAATATTGACTAATATTTGTAAAACAAAAAATCAAAATATTTTTCTAACAATTTATTATTCTTGTAACTTTTTAGCTGCGTATAATATTTGTATATAGTATGTACATATTTACTAGAGCTCTTGTGAAAATTTGAATATCCGGTTAGTCGACTAGTCGATTGGCAACTGTTTTTCGCTTGATAGTCGAATAGCAATTATTTGATAAGCTGCTCGAATTCGACTTACCGTTCACTTTTAAATAACCGCTAACTATCGAGTAGTCTGAAAATCGACTAACCGAAATTATTCGAATAGTAACGGTTGTTCACAATAAAATTATTATTAATTATTATTATTAGCGCGTTTGTGTTTTGTCAATAATCATAAGTACTCAAAACATATAAAAAAAACACTGTTTATTGAAAGAAAACAACTAATCGAGAATGAGGGGCTAGTTGAACAAGTCGAAATGATTAGTCGATTAAGTGAAGTCAATTTTTTTGAAACAACTTTTGCTAATCGATTAAGAAATTAGTCGACTAACAAGAGCTCCAATACTTTCGATACTACTAACTTTTATTCCTAGTTTGTTAATTCAAAAAAAAATTTGAGAATCCCTTCAGATGGGAAATATAAAAAACGGCCATCGAAATTTGAGTTTCATAGAAATTTTGATAAATTAACTATAGTTTTAAAATTTTCGCGGCCTTTTCGAATTAAGGAATATACTTTGCTTCTGTTTTAAAACTCTTTTTATGCATTCAAATTTTAGGAGTGCCTTTTTTATTAATTTTAAATTTTCTTATTTTTTTTTTTTAATTTTAATATATGTTTAATATATTATGATGTTTTTTTTTTGTTTTTTTTTTTTAGTTTCTTATTATATATCAAGGAATTACCTAAAAATTTTTATTTTTGTTTTGTAATTTGTTTTTATAAGTTTTTCAATACGCCTTACTATAGACGCCTGCAAAACTTTTTATTTCACAATTTTTTTCCGTTGTTTAATTCAATTTCAATACAAATTTTGCTCTTTCAGCAATTATTATGCAATGCATATGTGTGCATTTTATTAATCTTCTTGTATCTACCAATGTTTTATTGTTAGCTAACATTGTCTATCATTCAAACGATTATTATTTTGGCAACTTATTTTTCCAAATCAGTTAATTGTTTATTTTTATTTTTATTTGTTTTTATCTGACCTTCACTACTATTTCACATCACTAATTGCTGTTATATGTTTTTTGACGCGCCGAATATACTTCCTACCACTTGTTTTGATCAAAAGCGTTCTTTGATTAGCAGCAATTCGCCGCACTACTATACTAGCGCCGTGTTGATTCAACACAAAAAATAACAGCAATTTCTTGCTTCGATTTGCAACTTATAGATTTCGTTTTAAAAATCCAAGCCAGTCGGCGGTCCGTAGTAAAACATTCATTTTATTCATTTATTTCTTCTTTTTTTTTTTTGTTTTTGTTCACAACGTCAATTGAAAGGGGCAATCGGTTCGCATCGTAACAAATCGATTTTATAATCAAGCAATATTAAAAGAAAGAATAAAGATTTTATTATGCATTTCATTGGATTGCAATTTATTTCATAGTTTTTTGCACAGTTTCATAGTTTCAAGTCGTCGGTTAGTCGTGCTAGACAGTTGCCACTTCAATCCGCCGTTCAGTTAGTAGGTAATATCTGCGCCAACAAACACAACCACGCTTATAACCAGCGCACATAATATGCAACAACAAAAAAGAACAAAAAAAAATGTGCGAAACTTAAATAACGAATGTAAATATATTTATTTATGTAAATTTTAACAATCAGCAAATGCCAACTACCGTTTCGTCTCACTCGAATCGCACACAATTTATATTTGGCATTTTACCTTTTCGAATTTGATTTTGAAAATGTATCCACGCTCTAACTAAAGCACGCGATCAGTTTGCGCGGCGTTTATATAGTCGCTGCTCGAACGATCGCTCGCTCGCCCGCTCACTTAACGCCGACGACGATTTTGGTATCCAATTGAGTATAAGTTGGACGTGTGCTCTTGCTCTTTGCCGTCACGCTGCTACCGCTGCCGTCACCCCGGATCTGCACTACTTTTCCAAATTTCGCTGGCACAGCAAAATTTCTGAGCGTATCTGAGCAAAAACGAAGCAAAACGAAGGTGGTAAGATGCTATACATATATATGTACATATACTATATATGTATGTATGTACATGGGAGAATGTGCGCTATGGATATATATGCAACTCTTTTGGTTAGGAATAAGTACATAGCTGGAGGCGTATGGGAAGGCAGGGGCGATTCGCCGTACGTCGATTCATAGGCGCCCCACAAGTTACGTATGTATGTACACATGTACATATGTACATATTTATGTTGAAAGAAAATTAGTGTTGATTTTTGAATGAAACGCTAGCCGCTAGCGATCATTGATCTTGCAGATTGCAGATTTGTAAAAGTTTGAGCAAAAACTGCATGTGTACAAATTTAGGTGCCCGGCGGATCGTCCAACATAACAGAGCGCGAGAGAGGAAGGCTGGGAGGGAGCTGGCAGACGAGAAAGAGAATGTAGTAGAATCATCGTGCGCATTACATATTGGTAATTGTTTGTAATAAGTGTGCCAATTGTAAATGCACAGAAAAAATGCATTATGTGTGCGGCGCTCATTTGGCATTGAAAATTCATTGAGTTGAGCACCTACATACATACAAATATACAGGCAGACATACTAACATAAATATACATATACATACACATGCATGTAACGATCTAGATATCTATGTATGCACCTGTGTGTACTATGTAGATAGGTACCTTTCTTTCTTACCGCCACATAAATGTCTGACACACAAATAAAAATATGGGTTACTTGACCCTTGACGAGCGAAATACATACATACAAATTTCCACTACTAAAATTTACAAAAAGCTACATCCAAAGATTTAAACTACCAAGACAATTTATGTAGATACTTAATTCAGTCACACGTATTTCGAGTAAAAGTTATTTTTACACCACCACTTCGTTAATTGAATAATATATCCAATTTGACGCCGGATGCGCGTCGACCTACAACTTGACAGTGATTATATGTATATATGTTTGCATACGCTTTCAATTCAGACATAAATAAGTACATACAAATTTGCCATTTTTTAAACTTCTTGGCGGTTGCAAGAACGCCAATTTTTTGTATATTAAACTTAAGTACCCTGAATTGGATCAGAATGCCAAACAAAAACATCCAGCAAAGGATGTACGATAGTAATAATATTTTGCTAGGTGCTTGGCCGAGCTTCTTCTCCAATGATATGGAGCGCATCTTCAGGTTGTTACACAAAGGGGGGACCTACAGTTTTACGCCGCCTGCGAACGACAAATGCGTTTTATTAGAAGCTTTTTTTACAACAGAAATGCACTCTGAGGTTTGCCATTGTGATTCTTTTTCGGATGTCAATTTGACCAGGGGTCCAACCTTGGTCCTATGGAGCGGTAGTACGCAACTATCAGCACTCGGCTACAGCGGCCGCCAAGGATGTACGATGCGCCTATTTATTTTAATGTCTACAAAAACAATGGCTATGAATCATTTGCTTTTGCACAAATTTTAAAAATAGTGCGCAATGTGCAAAAGTAAGTATGTACATACATAAGTATGTATGTATGTACAAATGAAAAATATTGTTTTTCAAAAAGCTTTCAGTGCTTATAAATAAATATTTAATATAAATATGTACATATTGAGAAGTCTTTATTCTAATTTTAAATTTCACAAATGAACACAAAATCTTGGCCGACACAAATCCGGAGGCTCTCATTTTAATTTTAAATAAAACCAAATATTAGTGTTGGGCAGTATCGATACCAAAAGTACTCAGAACTCGATTCTCAAAAGGATCGACAGCACCCGATTTTTAAAAGTATCGATACTGACTAGTCCAAAGAACTAAGTACTCACAAAAGAACTCGAAAGTACTCAGTACTCAAAAAAGGAACTCGAAAGTACTCGGAACTTAACAGAACTAGAAAGTACTCAGTACTCAAAAATACTCTGTTCCAATAATCTCTTTGATACATGCACTCATGATCGATTCAAAGTACTCAGTATTGTGTTGAATAGACTTGAAAAGTACTGAGTTTTATTTACATTTAACGGTATTCAGAAATGATTGTACTCAATTTAAAGTTTCAATAATATTCATGTACAATACTTGCACCCAGTACGCACAGCTAGCCATTAATTTGACGTAATTTGGAATTCATATATTAATTTAAATAAAATACTGCCAGCTTGTGAGATTTCTACACTGTGTATATTTAAAGAAAGTGCTCAGTACTCTGAAGAATACCCGATCCTTGCCAAATAACTCGATCCTCAAAAGTACTCGATATTCCCAACACTACCAAATATAATTATTTTCTTCTTAGTTTTGTTTTTAGAGAATTGCGAGCATAATGGTGTTTGCTATAAACTAAATAGGCAAATATTATGTCTGCAAAATAGTATGACGCAGATAATAATACAAATATTTGGAGCAAATATACGCCAGCATTAAGTTAAAGAGATGAGAAGAAGGTGGTAATTGGTGTGTTTTTGTTGTAAAATCGTATACGATGATATACGTATCATCCACTCCTGTAGAGCTCGGTTAACTTGGTAGGTGTGGTCATTGACAATATCATTTAACAGTAGTCCTAGAAACATTGCATTTGCTCTAGATTGGACCAAAAAGGAGAGCTGTGTGAGATTTTTGTTTGCATCCGTTTAGTTTCCCTATAAACCTAGCGAGACACTTTGTACACAGAAAGATAACGCTCGATATGTCCAGCCACTAGGCAACAGTTAAATTTAAGTACCAACTTAAAATTTACCTCTATTCATAGTCGCATTTCAGACTTCTACTAAGTAGTTTCGACTTAGTTTACGATATAGCAAAACGAGTGTGAAAATGTATCGATTTTTCTTTACGATATTTTGGAAAAATTACATTTTTATTAAATATAATCAAGTTTGATCATCCGTTTATGTAATTTTTATTTTCATTGCATGATTATGAAAAAGAATAAGGTATTATTTTCTTGTTAATTGTGTGAAATAGCCAGAACAACCGCAGTGATGTGAAGTCGATGTTTATAGAAAGCATGCTGTGAAACATACAAATAGTAGATATCTAAATGTTATGCACAAATTTACTTTAAAAGAACTAGCGTGAAACTGACTTATTATTTGAAAATTTATCTAAATTATTCCAATTATAAAATTGTGATGTAGCTTTATTCGAATTGTAATACGCATTTAATTTCATCTTCCGATTAAAATGGATCGATCTTTGTAAATTTTAATTAGAGATTTCAATATTATCAAATTCACCCTCTACCAACTTAATTTTTACATATTTCGTCTGTTTTCCCTTAATTTGATAAAATACTTCTTCCTAGTTACGATTTAGTTGCAACTGCAGCCGAAACTAAAATTTAAGTTGGTACTTAGCCAGAAAAGTCGAAACTAAGGCGACTATGAATAGCTTTAGTTGTGACTTAGAATGGTTTCGACTTAGTTGAGTACTAAATATGACTATGAATATGCGCCAAAATTATTAAAATTTTTATTTGAACAGATGCGTATTTTTGTATTGCAATTCGTAGTCCCAAATGTAAGTGAGCGTTTTAATGGGCCAAAATTCCGTTCACTTCGCATAACATTTTAAAGCTCTTTCATTGTTTATGTCTGTCTTCTAAACAAAGATACTAACTTTTATTGCGTGGTTTAGGTTATACGTTTAGCAAGTATTTTTGCAAGGACCTTTAAATTTTTTTTTGTCCGCACGTAGAGGTCGCTTTTTTAAATTTTTCGTCGGATCTTCGGCAGTTACAGTGGGAGATTAAAGTGTGATATATCGATGTTCTTGTAAACTGTTTTTGTTCCAAAGTTCATTGTCCTTAAGTACTCCGTTTTAGTACCTACAAGGGCATCGCAAATTACAGTTATTTTCGAAATTTCCCCCAATGTATTTTCGAATTTCTATTTAATATTTGAATATAGCAGTGTGATGCTTGTCTGCCAAGGAATGTTATTCTTAAATAATGATTATTATTTTTTAAATCAACAATTAATCGTTATTTTTTTAACGGTATTTTATCAGTCCTAAATAACAATTAAAATTTAACTTTTTTCTAAAATAACAGTAAAAATTCTGGCAATTTTTACGGTCAAAAATAAAAGTTAAAATTTCATTTTTATTTTTCCAATCAAAAATAACAGTTAAAATTTCACTGTTATTTTTCCGATCAAAAATAAATGATATTTCATTTGCTTGTAAACATTTAAGTTAGAAACGTTTTATTGGTACGTAGGTACATATAATATATTAGAGATAAGCATGCAATAATAGTGAATTTTTATTTTTGATCGAGAAAGGAGAAGTGAAATTTTATCTCCTCTTTTCGATTGAAAAATAAAATTCAAATATTAACTGCTCTTTATGGTCGGAAAATAAAAATCAAATATCCAACTGTTGTTGTGTAACGAAAAAATAAAATACAAACAAAACTTTTATAAGTATTTTTGACCGAAAAAATAAAATGTAGGTATTGTTGATACTGTCAGTAGTGAACTATTTACCTTTTGGAGATAGAAGACGGTTCCTTTGGCAATATTTTTCATAAATAGCTTATTTTTAATAAGTGGAATTTTTACTTTTGTACAAATATGTACATATGTAGAAAAAACTGCACTCAAACTTTTTTAATAAAACCACAAATTAGAGGTGATCCTTAGTCGTCAAAGTTAAGATTGTTTTTGCAAAAATAGAAGAAATCTTATGCCAACAAAAATAATTTTTTTTTTTAAATCACTTGTTTCGTCATAATTAATTTTTGCCACGAAAATGGTTCAAATTGCCCATAGGGGAGAGATATACTAATTTATGGGTTGCATTAAACGATGTATTATGTATAACATTTAAACGATTTTAACTATTGCCGATTTTTGAATATCGAAAATGATATAAAATAGTAATAAGAAAAATATCGATTTCCCTGTGTTTACAGGGTGCCAAGAGAAAAAACCATTCCAGAAACTCATAATGCATAAATGATTTCTAAGATCGGTCGAATATAGTTAAATAGCTTATAAAGTAATGAACAATTAAAAAATAATAATAATGAATAAAAAAAAAAAAAATTGTTAGCTTTGGTAGGATGCCTAGAACCTGAAACACCCTTGGAGATTCGTACTGAGATTCCAAAGAATACATGCATACACATGTAAGTATGTATTCAACCAGTCGGGTGTCTCTATATTAAACATTTTATTATTGAGATTTCAACTCTATAATTTTTTCCATTGCTGTCACTTAGTACTCAAATGCAAATATGAAAGGGTTAGTAATCGTTTGTGAAACGCGAAATTCACGCCACGCAAATTAAACAGAATCAGCTTAAATTTGCATTTGCCATTTTACATTTCCCAACTAATTGAATTCGAGAAGAAGAAAGGGGTCTAGGAGCAGCCAACTATTGCTCACCGCATCAATGCGCGTCGTGTGAATTTTTTCCTTCTACCCGCCGCTCAACAGCAACATTAGGTACGTAGAGTTCGTAAAGTAAGAAAAATTAAAGAGCGTCGTCAATACTTAAAAAATATACACAAGCACATTTATTTGGCGTAGAGCATCACGCGGAGAGTTGTAGGGTGCGAAAGAAGTGGGTGCGGTGTGATGCGGCGAGGCGGCACAAAGTTCGTTTAACTAAGTGCAAATTGCTGTGGCTACAACGTTGCTGCTGATTTACAGTTGGTGGAATTTTTTGGCGAAAGCTAAATTTAGCACTGCTGTGAAGAATACTTGCACACATTTGTATGCGTAGTTGTGTTAGTGTGACCCCTGTCGGAAATTAAGGAGTTACACCACCCTGAAAAAAAATAAAAAAATCGACTTTCATAGAGGGTCAAGTGGATTTGGTATTCATTAATAGCTTTCATGGAAGAGATCAATTTTCACTTAATTCCAAAAAGTTACCAATCTGAAGAATGATTGCCAAGTTACGAAATTCGTAAGAGATTTGAAGGTAAAAAACTACCAAAACGGCAACTCTGCTCCCGAGTGCCCTAAAACATAACCAATCCGTTTTTATTTTTAAATTATGAACTCAGAGCGCGAATACTGACTTAGGATTCACCTGCTTAAAATTGATCACCCCAGCTGGGAGTTGTATATAGTTTGATGTAGATATATCAATTACATTCTGCCTTTTAGAAGAAACAAACGTGCCTGAAGAACCCACGTTCAGGATGTTAAGCCCACAAGACAGGATATAATGGTAAATCCGGTGCCATTTGCGTTGCACTTGCTGATGATCCAGATTTTATTCTAGGCATCAGCATCGTAGCACAAAATCAAAGCAACATTTCGGTTGTCGCAACATTCCACAAGACCAGCCACCCTCCACAGGTGGCGACCAAATATAATTATATGAAAATACGCAGAGGCGCCAAGAAAAGAGTTTCCAGCCTTTCTTGCTCCTGAAGCTCAGTCTTGCAGCAACCAAACTTTGGCAGTAGAATTGCACAAGCTTTGTCACTGTACAACGGTCGGTCTGACGGAGTTTTCGTTACGGTCTTGCACCCAATAGCAGTGGTTATAACCTTTCTAGTTACTTCGTGACATTTGAAAAGAATATTGAGGTAGAAGTAATGGACAAAGCCACTAGACTCCTAATTTTGCTTCTCCCACCGGCAGATGTGGGGCTCTTGCATCCCACAAGGGACCACTGCTTCTGATGGAAGTAACCTCCGCGGACCGTGGAAAAATGGAGCCAGATCTGTGCCATCACTGAACGGTCGTTGCCAAATAATTGCCTTTTACGGCAGGCATGCCTACTGTGTGTATCTTCTTAACGAAAGTTAAAAAATTTTTTTTATTTGCAAATCTAAACCCTCACTGTTTTCGGTTTGTTTATCGTTTTGCATTCTAAAACTGTAGATAATAATTCTATAAGTTTCAAAATCAATAAGTCTTCTGTTTTCGTATATAACCGATCCGATTTTAGAGCTAAAAACCAGCAATTTTTGCGATTGGCACATTTTTCCTGCAGGGCATTTATCACTGTGCTAATTGCTTACAATATACACACATCCATATCTGTTATAATATACAAGCTATATGAATAAAATTTCGTGTACGTGAATGTGCCTCCGTGTGCATATCGGAAACATACTTGCATACACAACTGCATAAATAAATGCATAGGTATGTATGTATATTCTTGCTGTTTATGTGTTACCATGGTGTGCAGAAAGTCACACGTTCGCAACAGTTACTCACGTTCCGAACAATGCCTTCTCAATTGTGCCAACAAGTAACACACATTTACATACATACAAATGAATCACATGTTTCACGGCAGCAACGGCACCAGCCTCAAAACTGGCTAACTGATCAGCGATCTTAATATTTTTTCTGTGATTTTTTTTTTTTCAGAAGTTTACATAAATTTTTATTTTTTTGCATCATCATTTCTATTTTTTGTAAGTTGTTTTATACGTTTTTATATAGTGTTAGTGTGAAATAAGACACAGATACAATCACTCACGTGCAAGCATTTATACCCAGTAGGAAAATGGGAATGCATTACCAAGAAAAGATTAACAACTATGGTTGAACGAAAGATGCATCGCAATGTAAGCGACCGGATGATGTGTAGTTTTCAAGTCACAAACAAAACAAAAAGTTTGAAAACTAACTCAAGTATATTTTTTTCGTGTTATCTCGAATGGATGCGTGTTCGACTGCCGTCTTATTGGTCACGGGTTCGAAACCTGTGGCACGGACTTAATGACATTGCTGTAGAGAAATTCTTGTATCATTTCGTGCGTAGGTTATAGGGGCCATCCATTACTTTTTGCATTCACAGACATTACCTTTTCCCGCTGGGTACTCATGTGAGTAAATACTCATAGTAGTATGTGTGTAGAGGTGCCCTGTGTTCACGATGAATCTCTTTTGCATGCAAACAGCTGACGCATTTGACACGGCGATGTCCTAGGAAGTGAAAATTGGCCCCCTCTCCATTACCTTTTCTATTGTTCGGAAGCAGACCTAAATTCGACAGATAGGATCTAGTTCGCTCTGCATCCCTTTTTCTATACTTCCGAACCAGTTCTAAAAGGTTCCAAGATGTTAAAAGTGAATACAAATTTTTGTTTTGTATTTCCAAACTAACAAGAAGCATCTGCGAAGTGCAGAATGAAAGCGTATTTGAATGAAAAACCGCCAAACAAATATCTAACTAAAGTAAATAAGCCTCCTTTCGATAGTTCCGAACTAGTTCTAAACTCCGAACCAGTTATAAATTCGTCACCTTAAATATCAATTTCTAATGAAAAGTTTTTTTCCTTGTTTATCTCTGAACAGAAACGGTTATAAGTAAAATAGGCAGCGCGATCTTTTAGAAAATTGCTCTTCAAAAGGTGGACTTAGCAGCAACTTTTCACTCTTAGCTAGCGATATGTAGTTTTAAAAAGCAAAACAAAATAGTTTTTTTTTCAAGTACCACTTTTCGATGCTTTTGAACTGGTGGGGATTACTCTCGGTCTGATCGTGGTTTGCTGATAAAAATTAGTACGGAACAAGGCATAGCAAACAGGTAGTAGCATGAGAGCAAAAACAACATTTACGTGTATGTTGCTCTGGTATCGAAAGTGTCAAAAACTGTGCTGATTTTTTTCTTCAAAATCAAAGCATGCCATGTGAAAAAAATATTTAAAAATTAAGTTGGAAAAAATTTAAATTATTGCCACTTTCTTTCTTAGTAACTTGGTTGCTTCTCGAAGCACTGATCCATCCTATGCAACGCCCAGTAATCAGCGGTTGTGCAGCTGAGTTCGACGAACGTTCCAAAAGCTGCTATGCAATCGCTTGTTTGATATGGAAAAACGTTTCACATGCAAACAAATTTTAAAAATTTAGAATTTTTGTGAGAAGAAATTTAAAATATTTGACATTTTCGAGACCAAATAATTGAAAAAAAAATACAAATCAGCAGCTCAATGATACTACCTGTTCAATGTACCTTGGTACAGAACTAGAAATTCATTAGTTCGGGGTTTCCCTGCAGGGTGTACTTTATATACGTAAAGTCAAATAGGAGGCAAAGCCATCAGTGGCTTTGACGTCAAACGAATGCGAGACGAGCCTCCAATCGACTATGCCAGCTACAACGACGACCAAAAACCAGCAGCCAAAGCTGGCAAGTAGTTTATGCACACATATTTATGTACATAGGTACATACATACATATGGACATATATTTGTATGTATGTATGTATAATTAAGATATGAATATCTACAATTGTATATGCAAAAAAACGACAGAAATTCGAAATAACCGCAAATGAAAAACTAAACCCACATGATCAGTTGCTATCCGAATACATTTTTGCATACATATACACACAAACGTATATACATACATACATATGTACCTAGATGCATATACATACAAATCTTTATGTATGCACGTCTATATTTTTTATTATTCATAAATTCGTATAACCACTTTTTAATAAATTTGTTATTAATATTTTTTTTTTTAAATACCTTTTTTTAATTTTTGTTTTATTGAATTCAATTGTCTTGATTGCGTTTCATTGTGGCGTTTGTGGCAAATTCCTTTAATTACTATGAAATTCTAGCACGTTCGCCGCATACTTGTTTCAACCGCGGCGATAAATTCAGGCACGCCCCTTTTTTGCTGACCCATCGTTCAGCGTACGGCGGAGGCGTGTTTACTCAGGCAAGAATTTAGAATCTACATACTAGGTACATACAAAATTAAATATATATACATATACAAAAAAAAAGAAATAAAAATATTTGCATACATACCAACGTTTTTGCACATTATTGTTGCTTGCTGATTTGATTAGGTTGCATTTATTCGATTACCTTAGAAGGTTATCGATATGTGCTGCATAAAGAAGTTACTGCGCATCAAGTCTCAATTTGTTGCCATTTGTTCGCTGGAGGGCTCGCCTATTTTTAATGCAGACTTTATTAGAACTCGAACAACTAACTCAGCTATACCTTAAGCAAACAAACAGATTTTATTTTCATGGTACCATGGAAAAGATAAACTGATTGCCGAGATTAACCTTGCTCATTTTACCTCATCGCTTGCTATGATAACGAACTGCCGCAGCGTAGTGGAGCAGCGCATCTGCCAAGCGAAGAGTGAATAAAAATAGCTTACAAGCGAGTCCTTTCACCACTATTGGCTCGTTGGCGTCAAAAATCTGTTGGAGGCTCTGCAAAGGTACCGCTGGGGCTTTCTTATTGTCCGAGGAAAGTTCTGAGGCACCCTGTAAGAATTTAAACCAGAGGTGCGTTTTAGAGGAAATTGAGAGAGCGAAAATGACAGCCGGTTCGGAGAGGAAGTTGCAAGTTTTCCTGGTTTTGGTTTTGCGTTTACTTACTTTCTCACTAAAAGCAAATGTTGTCTTATAGCTCAAACAGTCAACGACGTAACGTAGACGTAGGTTGACGCAGACACGATCTACCTAATGGGATTCGCGTGTTAGCGAAAACTCACCATCGCATGGCGGTGACGTTGCCGTTGCTTCTCTCTCTCTCTATCAACAGTAAATTTGATATGCTGTTACGTACGCCAACCTACGTTTACGCTACGTCGTTGACTAACTGCACTTTAAATTTGATATGCTGCTACGTACGTCAACCTAAGTTTACGCTACGTCGTTGACTAACTGAGCTTTAATTCTCAGAAATTTTGTTCATGGCAAGTTACTGAATATTTTTTTTTTACTGAGGAATACAAAAACAGACCTAAGAACTGCGACTAGGCATGAACTTTTGAACTCTTTAGGAAGCTGAAGTGTCGAGGCCTTATCCTGGACATAAAACTATTCTGCAAGTCAAAAAATGAGGAAAGTGTAAAGAAAGAGATCCTGAACAGCCTTATTGCTGTTGGTGGGCCATTGGCAAGGTGGTCTATTAGCTCTGTGTAACTGTAATTTAACCAGTTATTGTATGGTGCCTTCGCGTATTGCAACGCACTATATTATGAAACTACGCTGAAGTAATTTGAGAGACCACAAAGATCTTTCCTAATTAGAAACAGTGTGAGACTTCGCAAGCTCCTTTACCACAAAGATATGTCTGTTAGAGACAGTGGGGCACTTACGCTAAACGCCGTGACTACAACACCTCGGCTATAAGAAACTTCTAATTTAGTAAGGCACTCAGAAAAAGGCGTCAAGTTCCTGCCAGCCTTACCTGACCACTGCATACCCGGCGGCGTCCGACTGGATCCTCCACTACTAATATTTCATCTAGACAAGATTGTGCTTTGTACAATCTCTGGATCAGGGGACCAGTGAATTTATGTATGTACAAAAATGAATTAAATAAAATCTGAAATTTTTTTAAAATCTATCCGCCGTATTCGATACGCCATTTTAAATTTTTTTGGGTTTTAATTTTGTAATCAGCGACTCAAAGAACCTTTCGATATCATTTTCATAAAAATCTGATTTTTTTTTAAATCCATACGCCATATTGGATCCACCATATTAAATTTTTTAAAAATGATTTTAGTTTTGTAATCAGAAACTCAAAGAACCTTTAGATATGAAATTTCATAAAAATGTAAAAGTTTTTTAAAAATCCATCCGCCATTTTGAATTTTTGAAAACTGTATTTAGTTTTTAATCAGCGACTCATAGAACCTCTGGATGTCAAATTTCATAAAAATCTGAAAATTCTTTAAAAATCTGCCATTTTTTATTTATGAAAACTGATTTCAGTTTTGGATATAAAAATTTATTCTCCGGGACTTCAGATTCGCAATTAGCAACCTCAAAAACACAAAAGACACGCGCCCTTTTCACAAAAAATAAAATAGCTTTAAAAAAGGTTTATTAATTGAAAAATGTATGAAAACGTCACACTCTATAAAGCTCTGTAAACCTACTTTATTTTTTATGAATAAGGCCAACAAAGTTTAATCAAATTTAAAAAATCACATCAATAAGGGTGGTTTTTCCCCTTAGAAACCGTAAATAACGTGATCTAGAAAAACGTTAAAATACGGCTTATGTTTTTGCCTCTCCTTTTCAATAACGCTTGATGTTTTCATGGGTGCAAAAAATAAATTCCTTTTGTCGGACAGTGTAATGATATGATCGTTTATAAACAGTGATTGTTTTCTAATCTGAATGCCTGTGATTCGAATCGAGGAATATGTACATACAGTGGCCAAAATAGAAATTAGTACTCGCCATTTTAGTAAGTTTTGGCTATTTTCCCCCCAGTTTATTCAATGTTTATTATTTATTTTATGAAAGTGAAGCTCTTGTCCTAACAAAAACCATATACATAATACCAAATTTCCAACTTTGTGCAAAAAACTATAAAAATTAATGTAATTTTGTAACTCATTAAAATGAGTATAATAAAGTGCGAGTGGAAAGTGCTGCTCATTTGCTTCTCTTTTAAAAAAAAAAAAGGTCGAACATACTTACTTTGTATGAAAAAAATGCGTAACACCATCAACACAAAAAAAAAAAAAATTGCCAAAAATTAGTGGTAAGCCTTACCGACTTAAAATTGCACTTTATTATTCTAATGTCTCGAGAAAATTATCCTACAAATGTGTGATGTTACTATAAGGATTCTGTTTCAGGGAAAACTGTGGGAAAAATTAGCAAAATTATTTTTTGTCCCGTATTCGGCTCTCATAAATATGGTCACCGCAATTATAGCATCGAGACGCAAGCTCGGTCAAACACTTTGCAAATTGTGGGCGCCAAATGTGTGGCAAATTTCCTGATACATACATACATATGTACTTATCTAATCTATTTATAAGAAACAGTCATCACCGAATTGTTTTGCATTTCCAAACAATAAAACATACTTATACAACATTCAAAATGCTTAAACTCGAATTGATAACCCTAAATACTTCCATATGATTTTGAAGTCGACTAAAAATAGTTAACAAAAATGTATTAAACCTTCACGGAAACATCATCATGACTTGTATCAATTTATTCTGCGCGTATAACAAGCTATATTTAAGTGTATACTTTGTTCATGTCAATGACTTAGGTGACGGCCAATCTAAATGAATGAAATTATCTATATATGTTAAGACTTGTATTGTTTCATGTGTTCAATATTGCTATTAACATTATCACAGAAAAGATGAAGTATTTAAGTATAATATGCAGTATGACGTATGTATGTACCTTGGGGCCTGTTTGGGTTTCCAATCACGTGATCAGGATGATCTTTGAGAGTCAAGAATTTCGTTATTGTCGTCTTATATTTTTAATTTTACTTGTGTTTTTTTTTTTTGCATACTCAATATAATTGACCCACATATACCACAATATGCAGAAAGAAAAACTTTTTTCCAATCTTGAGAAATTCTTGATTCTGAAGTGAATGTATAACATTTCTGACCAATATTTTATTCCAAGGTTTGATTAAAAGTTGAACAAAGTTTGAATTCAAATTGATATTCAAGCTTATCTCAAGTGGAGAACTCGGTTTATTTTGCATGCCAAAATTATGCCCTGTTTTTGAGAATTGAGAAACACTTAAAAATCAACGTTAAAAATTGGATTATGTAGTGGATCTCCACTGAATCTCCAAATCAAATTTTAAATGGGACATACAGATTTTTTAAAATAAATATTCCTTCAAAGACCTCTCTACAAACAAGTTAGTAGAGTACCTTTAAACTCAGAATAAATAAGGTTTTCAATGTACATAATAGAATTTCTACATACATACATGCATTACGTATGTAATATATAATATTTATGTACACACACTGACTATTACATTTCATCTTTGTTTGTCTGATTACGCCACGCGAATGTAATCACATATTTCGCGTGCGATTTGTGCCCTGCAGCTTATTTGGGCTGTTGTCTGGCTAACAATCACTTGTTTGCCTTTTACATTTGTTGATATAGTTGAGAATACAAAGCCCAATGATAATTTTTAACTGCGTTTGATAATTTTGCGCACACAGGTCAACACTATTTTTCTGCAATTTCTTTTTATTTAGGGATTTTAGGAAATTGTAAAAATGACGCTGCAGATAGCACAACGCTGAACGTTTCAAGTTATGTACACTAAACGGTACCGGAATAGAAGTTCACCTTACGCCCCAAGTTTAAAGTAATTTTTCAAAGCAAATTCGATTTTTTTGCCGAACTAAGAGGTCGCCCTTTACACTTCTAGTCATATCTTCGGAATTTACAGTCGGGAGTTTAAAGTATTTATGATATATTGATGGTTTTGTCTCGAGAAGAAATGTTTTTTTTTTGTTCCAAAGTTCAATAACCTCAAGTAACCCGTTCTAGTACTTACCCACCACCCTAATGTAAGTAATTTAAAGCTCATACAAATTGTTAAACTTTTGCTAAGCAGTTATTTTAAACGATTTATTTTTATTTCTGAAAAATGTAAAAAGGCGAGGGTTGAAAGGCCTAAACTTTTTGTTAAGGGTTTGGCCGAGTTTCTCCTCCAAATTGTGGTGCGCGTCTTGATGACAAATGGAGGGACCCAACTCCGAACGGCAACTCGCAGAAGTACAATCTGATGTCTGCTATTGGCTGCCGAAGGGCAACCAAGGAAAGTGCCAAAGGTTTCACACCTTTTACTTTTTTTATTTCTAGTTACAACAACCGTTATCATTAGTACTTGCAATAATAATAATAATCCACTATCCTTGGCAAACCCTCTCCTACACTTCGCTTCGACAAAGTTCTAATAAAGTTAAGTACTAAGTAATGCACTAAACGTTAATTCTGTCGACTACTTAATTGCTTGTACTACGCTACTTGATAGTTCAATTGTCGAAAGATAAAATTCGGAATTTTATGAATTCCAGACATTACCAGCTTAGAATCCATTTTTAAGTAGATAATGGCCTCTTAGACCAAATCAATTGACTTCAAAAGCATTACTTAGGCTACTTAATAGCATATACTCTACAATTTTCGGGGGGAAAAAAATATATAGAAGAAAGAAAAAACCGCAACGCTGTTACGCTGTGTAGTAGGGCTTTCCGCAAAATTCATAAAAACGAAGAGAGATGCACTCGCTGCGCAGGTGACTATTCCGTCAACAAAGAATGATAATTATTTCCATGCATACGTTCTAGTAGTTTGCTGTCCAAATGACCGTCTCCACGTGAATTTGTTTTGTTGTTTTGTGAAATGAAGCTTGGGAATACATACATATGTATGTATGTATTTACGTAGTATTATGCATTTGTCAGTCAAGCCATTAAATATTTTAATGCAACTCTCCAAATTAGATTAAA